CTGTGTTGCAGTAATAATGATCAGGCTTAGGTGATTGTCATGCGTGTTTTTATAAAGATTGGCTGATGAAAAAAATATTCTTTGAAACACTTTTGTCAAATAATGAACTTACAATACAAAGTACTTGCAGTGTTTTAACACTTGCTGATGTAATTTATTAAAGCTGAGGTTTTTTTTTCTTCTAGCAGAAAACTTTGCCAGCAATCCATATCAGTAATAATGATAACCAACGAAAGTCAAAGTCTATTAAAAGTCAAGCTGTTGATGATGTCTTGGAAATATTAATCAAAAATGGAGGTAAAGTTCCTTGCAATCCTGTTTATATGTATCATGATGAAATGAATGCATAAATATTTAATAAAATGTGTTTATCTTTTAGGGTCTATAAAAATTATTAGTTTCTTTTTTCATTAATACAGTGTATGCAAATAGGGGGAGGGGTGAAAGTGAGCATATCACGACCTTTTATAGAGCTATATTCAAAATTTAATTAAACTACTTTATTGTCAATATACACCAATAAACTTGGCATCAGAATATAGTTTATAAGTGTGATTTCAAAATGAAATATTTAAATCTCAATCGTAACTTCTCCATTTCTTTACTTCAAATTGCCCATTTTGTATATTTTTCTTTACCTGTGATTTCATGAGTAACACATATTACACACTTACAGTATAGATATTGTTAACACATAACCTAAAATCTCCAATTTTCTTGCATTACTGAGATATAACCCAGAAATTGAAACTCACATGCCACACCCTCCTAACTCTTTTTGAAATTTGCTATTGGCTTATTCATAAAGTAAAGGGAAGATTTTATTTTAATGAATTTTTTGTTTGGCTTTCCTGTTTTGATGACAGTTTATAAATTATTAGTCATACCATTTCATTGACATCAGCAGGAAGTCTGAAGGCTTATAACACTAAAAACTGGATGTCGATACTCGTGGTGAGGACAACTCAGCATTTGTAACTTTGTTGTTAACAGCAAACAAAAACAGTCTAATTCTTTGATATTGCCGAGTCACCTCAATCAACCAACATAATCATTTTAACCCACTTGTAGTTTAATTAGAAAGCCAGTTAAATCATAATAGTTATGGAACTTTGTATTGTGTTCTAAATTCCATATACGAAATGAATAAACTTTTATCAAGACTTTTGTAGCAAAAAAATGGTACATGACCTATACGTTAGTACTAAATTTCTTGTTTTTTTATGTGAATTTTTTATTTATTGTTATATAAGTAACTAAAGGGGAAAAAGTTAAACATGCTAGGAAATTTAAATGGAAAAAAACAATCTTTGATTTGCTCCTGTATGATGGAGTTCAGTACTTTGTTTACCATAACTTGCATGGCATGTTGTTGCCAGGTCAGTTATTGCTTTCTTATACTAGCTTAGTAGCTATATGGTTCAAAGAGCTATCAAATAATAAAATTAAATGAAAGCAGTAGTAAAAAGGTTCGAGGACTGGTGATGTTGTGATAAATAACTATAATTGTCTTCAACAATTTGTAGTGATTTTAGAGAACAAGAAATATAGTAATTTATGACTTTACTACAGTTAGTGTAACGGTAGAGAAAATAAAGTATAAAGTTTTAGCAAAACTGTTTTCATGTTCATTTAAGAGGTTCTAGAGCAGTGGTCGGCAACCTTTTTTGATCGTGGGTCAATTATTATTTTTTCAAATTTAGCATTGTGTTGGGTCAGTGATAGTCATATAATTCTTAATACTGGTACAGGTATTTAAATGTGTATGTTTATTTACATACAACAAATAAAATTAATTATTTGCAAAGATGATTCAGTCACCAAATACATTTAACAACAAAAATAATCAGTTCTTGACTGATTTTGTAACACATAATTTAACAACATTTTTACATGTTCAGTCTCAGCCATGTGAGTATCGAGGTGATGTTATTCAGTGATGGCAGTGAAAAAGAAACGAAGCAACTTATGTAGCCTGCACGTCTGTTCTGTTGTCACAAATAAAACATTACCGTCACTTATATATATAACCTGAAACTCTTATTTATCTGTAAATATAAATAATTTGCCATATTCTCACCTCAAAACCTATAAAAACACCAAAATTATATTACACACAACACTTTCTGCCAGACAAGCAAGGAATTTCTCGGCTAATAACAGCACAACAATACACCTGAAGCGTTACGATCAAAAGTTTTATCACAGATAGTTTGACCAGCTTTAATATTTTTACCTAAAATTGATCTTACAATTCTCTGTAGCCGTGACACTTTCCCTTCTTTCATTTAATATCTTTGTTCTTTTCACATATCAGAGAAATTTGAACTGAGCAATGATTGTGCCCTCACGTGTTGCAACGGTGAAGCCAACTTTAGGAGGGTCACCAAGTGACCCGCGAATCATAGGTTGCCGACCACTGTTCTAGAGTTTATGTAAATGAAATATGAAAAGTGTAAGGAACGAAGTATTTTTATTTATTATTAACATAAAAATCACGTTGCTCTCAGAGTAGTCCGAGTCTGACTTACCCAGCATATGTACGGATAGATCTTTAGAAGAAATATTTTATTGAAAATTTTGACTTTTTTTGTGTACATCTTACTATAATGGATGTAGCGTGTGTGTAACCAAAACTCTTGTGCCATCTGTTGAATGACACCACAAACAAAAATCCATAAAAAATTTTACACTTTGGGTATTCAATATTCAGATACTTAGAAAAATAATTGTGGTATGTGCAATAACTATTTCTTTATAGTGAACACACTTTTACATAAAAGTACTCTCCTCACAATGAGAACTCGAGTTTCACTAGGACTGTATGTGAGGGTTTGATTATGTCTTTATTAATGTAATTTTTAAATGTAGTATTGAGAAACTTGGAGTTCTTAAAAAAACTATTATTTTTTCAAAAACAAACATTACCACTTTTAATATATAAAAACATTACAGTTTATATCGGTAAAACTTATGAATATTTTGAGCTCTGAACATTAAATCATTTTGATGTAACGAGTTGCGCATGACTGTAGAGCATAATCCACACTCTTTTCCCATGCAGTACTTGTAATGTTTACTAAAACCTTACCAAGTTTTGTAAATTGACACTGAACATAATTTGCATACAGGTTTGGTCCAACAGACCAACCCCATGCATTATTTGAGTGTGTGTGTATATATGTCAATTACTTAGTTTTGAACAAATAATTTCATTGAAGTGTATTGAATGATCCCCTTCTCATTTTGTTGTTTGAACTAAGTCCATAAAATCATGATCTTTTTATCAGATCAGCTAAATTGCTTTTGAAAATATATGAAAAGAACCTAATATAATGTGGTGGTATTCTCTGCAACTTTTATAGGGCCAAAACCTGACATTTTACTTTGAACAACAGTGAACTTAAATGTACAAGATCATGGGAATATACCTTTCTAATATTAATGATATGAAAAATGGTATTAGGTGTTTGTGTTTGGAATTATAATGCAAAATGTATTTGCATCATATTTGTAACATTCACCAATAAATCAAATTTCCCACACAAGAGAAGGAAGATCAGTGTCATATGTTACTGTATAAAGTACACAGGCACAATACAACAGTTCCGGGGTCTGGTTTTTGATTGTGTGTTTTTAAAAAATCCTGATATTATAGGTTATTACTGATGGAATCACTAAACATCTTTTTAAAATTAGTAACAAGTTATAGTTGTCCCCATTTTAAACTTTTCATTAGTTTTCCACCCTATTGGTCCTTTGAAACTGTTCTAGCAGACAAATGCTGGAGAGAAATAAAATCTTCTCTTCTTTTAAGATAAGTTGGTACAGTTTATGAATTTGATGTTAATGTAAGTTACTATAAAAATACAGGAATAATATCTAGGATATGAACTTTATTATCTGTTTGAAAAAATTAGCACACTTTTCTATCATTATGTATGTGAAAATCCCCAAATTTCTATAAAAATGGAACTTCCTTTATCAACTTTTCAGATATCCACCATTTTCAACAGCTAATATATCACTGTTTGTTTGTCAGAATTTCATCAACCTTTTTTGTTTAAATTGAGTTTCTGTATCAGAGAATAAATATGGCATTTTACATGCAGACTTATGGTCTTCCTATTGCTTTTTTTACCAAGTATGAGTAGGGTGTTAGTCTGTGTCCAATAAAAACCATCAAAGTTAGAGCCAAGAATACTGCCAAATTACTAATACCATTTTTTTTACAATTGTCGTAAGATATAATACTAGATAAAGAATGTAGTGTTTAAAAATGTGTTACGATAAGTATAACTGTAATTCTTCTTCTCCTGGTTTAAAAGGCACACACGCTGTAACAGTACCGTTTTTGTTCAGTCATTGTGATAATTGTTTTACAAAATAATATTGGATGTTTCCAAGATCACCAAGGCTACTGTAGTATCATAGAAAGAACTTCTTATTAAACATTACCCCCTAAAGAAGTTACCATAAATACCTAAAGGTTTTATTGCAAGCTGTTAATTTTCTGTTTAAAAGTGCTGTCACAACCACCACTTCAGACAATGATTTAGCATTTATTGAGCAGATGAAGCACATTCTTTGGACTTGACGGCTAAATTTACAAGGCTAATGTTCCACAGCCTAATTCTATGTATATGGTGCTATCTCTTCTAATCATTGAAGTACCTTTCATTAATATCATGATCTGTTTTCAAAGCATAGTTAACCCCTTCTTCACCGTATCAGTGTTTAGAACATATGCTGTTACTAATTCCAGTTCTATGTGACATTGCCTCAAATTTCCAGTTGATGTCTTGAAAAATCAGAATAGAAAACCACGATCGATATCATACTGAAATTCCGAAAATTCCCACACCTATGGGCCTGAATCTTTTTAAGCACGTAACAATGCCTGTACTTGTGGACATCCTTTGATAAGGGTTTTTTAACTGATTTCAGTGGTATATGGTTTATAGGACCTCCAATAAAATATAAACTTTTTAATACTTTGTCACATTTCATCATTTTCTGTGAATACCTAGTGACAACAATATAATCTAACACTTGTGTGTAAGTATTAATTAAATATGTCAACATTACAGGTATTGTTACTGTTATA